GTTCAGTTCTGCGGAAGAACTGATCGGGTTCTGATGAGAACAGTGTAAGCGTTCAAGCAAACCACTTCTGAAGATGCAAGCCACTCGTGCTTGCGGAACGTCAGGAATAAATTATCCTGTTGGGTAGAATTCCGGTGAAAAAGACAATCGAAGGCTTAAACATCAAATACCTTCACCAGCCTTCCGAGCAGTTTTTCCACTGGCGTGCTCAAGTCGTCCTCTGCGCCTACTTCGATGCCGGCCTCCTTCAGCATCGTCCTCGCTTCGGGAAATTGAAGCACCAAGGGAGGTTCGAGGAAAGTGAACGCTTCGGCCGGATACTGCTGGCCGACCAGCGAAATTTCCCGGCTGTACCTGCAATGAGAAAACCCCGATGTTCAGCCAAACCCTTGCGGCTGACGACTCAAACGTACTGGTCGCGCAGCCCTTTGAAAATCTCGGTAAACAAGTCGCCGATGGTCAGCATCACTTCATGATAGTGGTACTGGAAAGCCATCTCCAAGTCCAAGCCAGTGAACTCGGTCAAATGCCGATGAGTGTTTGAGTCTTCGGCCCGGAAAACTGCGCCCACTGTGAAGACTTTCTCGAAATCGGCCGCGATGGCCATTTGCTTGTACAGCTGGGGACTTTGGGCCAAGTAGGCCGAACCTGCAAGTTAGGAGTTGAGGGCTTTTGCTCGGAGTTGGTGGTTTAGATGCTGCACCTTTGAAGTAGCTCACTGTGAAGACGTTGGCGCCCCCTTCAGAGGCGGCAGGGATGATTTTTGGGGTATGAATCTCCACGAACCCTCTGCTAGCTAAAGTGTCGCGGAATAGCTTGCAAACGCCCGCCTCCAAGCTAGTGGAGCGGATTTATTAGCCCTTTTCTGCAGAAGTGAAACTACGCCTTAAATTACCGGAATACTGCCTGATTGGTGCTGGTCCTCAAGTCCAACACCCTGTTGTCCAGTCTAGTGTCCTGATTCACGCGGATATTCAACGAGTCCTCGTCCTGCAAAGGAGCATTTATTAAATGTCCTAAAAATTGAGGGCGGAAAGTGCGCACTCCTGGTTTTTCTGGCCGACTGGCGTCCTCAATCTGCAGAGGAAGCTGGGGGAAAGCCGCTGAAACGACCCAGACTTCTGAGGCCACCAACTCCACCTCGCTTTGACTGCAGCCAGCGACACTGGAGGGAACTTGCGCCACTTTGGCCTGCACATCAATGATGCTCTCTTTGGAAATACTGCAAAAATCCACTAGAGCCCTGCCGCTTTGCCGCAGAATCGACTCACTTGCTGGCGAACTTCACCATGGCCTTTGAAACAGCCTCGGACACATTGACGAGCACTTGCACGGAAAACTCGCGTTGCCTCAGCACAATGAAGCACTGCTTGCCCTTGGCGCGACTGGTGTGCAGTCGGCCCCGTATCCACACCTGTTGCCCCGTCAGGGCTTTGGTCAAGTCCTTTGCGGCGGTGAAAGCTCGCTTGGGGGCCGAAGGGTCTGACCTGATCAAAGGCAGTGTTCCGTAGCGCCCCTCCGACACATCCGCTGCAAGCAAAGGCGTTAGCCCCAGATAGAGACAGTGTGAAATGGGGCACCTTCATCTCTGGCAGGTGCTGCGCTTGGCCCGTCCGCAGCCTTGTGCTCGGCTTTCTTGGCAGCCTTCTCCGCCTTCTTGGCCTCCTTTTTGGCGGCCTTTTTGCTCTCGGCCTTCTCCACCTCTTCCACCATTTCGAGTGCCCTGCAATCCACATAAGGGGCTTAGAGATTGCATCATTTTAGCCTTTTGTTTGGAAGGACGCAGTTGTTAACGATCCAGCCACTTACTTTGGGGCCGAAGTTCACGGGATTTGAAAAAAACTGGTGTTTTTATTGGGAAAAACCGGGCCACATGCAATGTGGAGGTTATTTGGGTGTCAAAGTCAGCAAGGATTGACTTGACAACCAATAATAACACGTACTAGCGTATATAAACCAACCTGACTCGTTGTTTAAATGATATAGTTGCCTTATATGCGTTAGTATAACACGTAGGCCTATGACGTAGGCTATGGGTGGAGTTGGAGCAGGCTGCATCCTCTTCTAGAGTGTCGCCAACGACAAGAACAAATCTAGTCCGGGCCTTGTCTACTACAGACTTCAGTAAATAATAAAAAAAGAGTGAAGTTTGTGTGAAAATCGCAAACAAACAGGAATAGCAGGTAAATACCATAGATAAAGGCAAAGGTAAATGCCCCAGAACTCGCTAAATTTACTGTTGTGATAAGCAATCGTTTACTCGCTCGCTAATCTGCTCAAACATGATCTGCTGACCTTAAAACCCTCTGAAACTTGGCCACATCATTGTTTACTTTACTGAAAACTAAGTTTTTAGCTTGAAACATGGGGCTGATGAACCGCACTTGCTTACTGGGGCTGAGCCTTATTGGGCTGCTGCAAACCTGCGTTGCGCCTCCTGTAACGAAAACCCAGCAAAAGGAGGAGCCCCCGCAACAGGACTCGGACTTTGGGGGTCTGGAGGACTATATGGAGTACCACCGGTACCTGAAGGAAGTGGTCAATGCCTTGGAATCTGATCCGGATTTCAGGCAGAAGCTGGAACAGGCCGGCGAAGCGGAGGTCAGATCCGGAAAGATTGCTGAGCAGCTGCAGTTTGTATCGCATCATGTTCGAACCAGGTGATTATTGAGGGCCTTTTTAAACTCAGTAGAACACTGAAATTGTTGCTTTGTAGGCTGGACGAGTTGAAGCGGGTCGAGTTGCAGCGACTGAGGGAGCTAACGGAGAAGAAAATCAAGCTGGAGCAGGGCATTGATGAAGAGCACCATCATGTGGACCAGAGCAACCCGCATACTTTTGAAATTGAGGACCTGAAGAAGTTGATCACCAAAACCACGCAAGTATGACGACTGTCGCTTTATTTGCCCAAAAAAGCCTTGGTTGAACTGCAGGATCTGGCGGAAGCCGACAAATTGAGGAAGGAGGAATTCAAGCACTACGAATTGGAGAAGGAGTACCAGAAGCTGGAGAAACTCAACCACACCAATGGGGCCGAAAAGGAGCAGCTAGAAAAGGAGTATCGGGTAACCAGTCGACGATATCAGCCGTGTTGAGTCGATTACATACAAGACTTTATGCAGGAAATGGAAACGAAGCACAAAAATCACAAGAAACTACACGAGCCGGGCCACAAGGCGCAATTGCAGGAAGTATGGGAAGAACAAGACCAAATGCAGCAGGACTTTGACCCGAAAACCTTCTTCATGCTGCACGATCTGGATGGCAACCGTTTATGGGATCAGGCAAAACACCCAAAACCGCAAAATCTTCGTATTGCCAACTCAGGTAATTCCAGGAGGAAGTCAAGGCCCTTTTCATCAAGGAGCTGGACAAAATGTACCAACAAGGCGCCCCCGAAGACGACATGCGGGAAAGAGTGGAGGAAATGGAGCGCATGAGGGAGAGCGTGTTTGGGGAGATGGACCAAAATCGGGACGGATTCATAGACTTTCAGGAGTTTTTGAGGCAAACGAGCAGCAACAACTTCAAGCAGGACAATGGATGGCAGGTTTGTAGCAAACTCGAAGCGCGTTGCCAAACCACCCAAATTTTCCACTTTCAAGCCTTTGGACGAACAAACCAAACCATACACTGACGAAGAGCTGGCAGAGTACTACCGGCTACACCATGCAGCTAATGAGATTCCTCAATACCAGGAGCAGGTGGGTGTTTGGGAAAAATACTCAAAAAACCTCACAATGTTCAATCTAATTCATGATCAGGTGCCTCCAGGCTATCGACAACCGGCCAATCAGCAGTTCCATCCTGGGCAGGTTCCTCAAATGGCACCACAGCACTTGGTAAGTCCCCTCCAGTTAGCTTCATTGGATCTTTGACCAAAAAAATGCAGGACCTGAACACGAACGAAATATATCCGGAGCATCCGCCACAGTATCAGCAAAATCCTGCAGTGCCTGTCAACAATATTGGGCAACACCAGTTCAACCAGCAACCCAATATTCCTCCGCAACAACAGCAGCAGTATCAGCAGGCGCACATTCCTCAACAACAGCCGAATGTTCCTCAACAGCAACCAAATATTCCTCAACAACAGCAATATCAACATCCAAATATTCCTCCTCAATATGCGAATATACCTCAACAACAGCAACAACCGAATATTCCTCAACAGCCCCCGAATGTTCCTCAACAACAGCAACAAGCGAACATTCCTCAACAGCCGCCGAATGTTCTTCAACAACCGAATATTCCTCTACAACAGCAACAGCCGAATATTCCTCAGCAACAACAGTATCAGCAGCCGAATGTTGCTCAACGCCAGAATATTCCGCAGCAACCAAACGTAGGTTTGAATGAACAGGGGAATGGAAGGCACTAAAGTGGCTTCTCATTGGGATAAACGCAGGGTGAGTTGGCTCACTTTGTAACTTAATTAAGTGAAAAATGGAGGTCGCAAGTCTCAATCCTTACTACTAACGTGATATTTGCAGCATTTTATTGAACGAATGGAAATTGTGTGCAATTAATTTGAAGGAAACTAGTCGAACAAGCTGGTGTTTGTTTATGTTCCGAACCGAAGGTCTAATGTTATTTTTTTAAAGTTAATTATAAAGTATAATAATAAAACATATAGTTTGCTTGTTGTGGATCCATATAATCTATAATACATACATGTAGGGAAATTAAAATATACATAATACACCTTGATGCTTGAGTTTCATCAATTGAACTTCAGACAGACCAGAATAAAAACGACGATTTAAATATAGCACAGTATGTAAAAACAGTAAACATTTAGGACGTGTCCATGACTTTGCTTGCCTGCCTCAACTCCTTGAAACTCCTCAGTTTATTCGCTTGTTTGTCCTCCAAAGCTTCCAGATATTTTTCAAGCGAGTGATAGTTTTTGGGCATTTTGCTGAGGATAATATCGGGCACGTCTATGGCCAGTTTTTCCGGCAACATGTAGCAATACAGCCAGCCCAGCAGGGGGGTTTGTTTGAACGTGTAGTGCAGCTCCTTATGGTAGAAGACGATGCCATGGTACAAAACACTGTGACTAGAAGCCAACAAGTCTTGGAAAATTTTCTCCTGAATCAAACCCTTGTCTGCTGGCATAAACTCCAAGAGTTGGAGCTTGTGGGCTTTGTTTGTCTCGTGCATTTTCGCGTTTTCCTCAAACTGGTTGCGCAGCCAGTAGAAGCGAAACGTAGTCTCACTGTCCAACATCGACATGGTATTCCAATACAAACAGTCTAACACAAATATAGTTTTACTTACTTTATTGTATATGCAGTCCAGGACTGTGAGACCGTGATTTCGCGACAGGCCGCCGCCAGGTAAATGAGTTCTCAGCGTCAGCACTTTGCCTCGCTTGTTCAGCAAAACTGTTTGGAACTTTTTGGCTATCAGCAACACCCGGAAGCCTTCAGGGGCGAACTTCGCCAGCCAATTCTCTTCCAAGTCGGGGGGCACATCCACAAGCCACTCTGAATGCATTAGGGAAAAGCCACGCTTGTTTTTCCGCCTATGGACGTCCACGTCCATGTCTTCAACCTGCTCGGAAGACACCACCAGGTCTTCGCACACCTCCTGCCTTTCATCGTTCAGGAATAGTTCAGAGAAGTCCCGATGCTTGTCCACCAGACTATGCCTGCGCTCCTTCTGGTCATTCAGGTAGAATTCCCGTCTTTCCTGCTGGGATAGATCAGCGTTGCGACCGGCGTTTTTATATAAGTGGCTGAATTCAGATGTGAAGTCCTCACTGTCTTCTGAGCTGGCAGAGGCTTCCGGTTGCGACATGCTTTCACACCTGGGATTCTGGCCTAAAATACTCCAAGACTGGTCTAATGGAAAACAGTAAACACTTGGACGTCTCGAAATTGTATGTGAGGTTATGTGTGCTACCATAGATTAAGTAAAATAAGAGAGGTGGCAACCTTTATGGGCTAGCGCATACTTGTCTCGTTGTTTAAATGACATGCACCGGTTATTCAAATTCTCTGATCCAAATACAGATATTAATCGGCGCAGAAAATGGTTTGAAATAATGGAATTCATTCTTCTAAAAGAACGGCTTAGAATTTCGTACCAAAAAAATTTAAAATTCGCGTTTCTAACTAGCCGATAATCTAGATGCCTGTTTTTCCCGTCAAACCTTTCCGTTATTGACGGTATGTGTGCTACTGTCATCATCATCATTCATCAACTGGCAGCGCCGCACAGTGGGCTCTTAAAGCTGATGGGCAGGCAGTTTCACACTGAACTACGATTTAATTTTGGTTGTGAGGGATGGGACAGTTATATAAAAAATAATAGTGTTTTGTAGTTACTTTGGAGGAAAAATAAATCTCTACTATCTACACAAGTTCCTGAAGCTAAAAAGGTAAGAAACTTCTCTGACAATTTCATAAATCATATTTTATTGCAAAAGAAAAATAGCGATTTTGCCAAAACTGTTCCTTTACATCATCAAACTATTTGCCAGTTATTTACACTAACAAACCAAGGAAAACTCGTCTAATATTAAAATAGGGTTTTACCGCTATGTTGAATCAATCGGTCTACGGTTTTTCAGTCGACATCCGAAGGGCCAGCGTTTCTTCGGGCGAAACGTTCCGCTCTAGATGATGTGGATGCGTCGCCATCATCTAGAACAAGTCCAGAACTAGTCGTTCTATTAAAGCACTAGCAAAAGTAGCAAACGCAACAAAACTAAGCCAATATTTTGCAAAACGCTACAAAACAGCCGGTTAATCGCCTCGGGAAACTAATTAATTGGAAAGGAAAGAAAAAATCGAAAATATCTAAATCATTATATTTCTATAAACTCTATACATAATCGGTTTACAAAATAATAAAAATATCAAAACTCGATGAGATTTGTTACAGTCCTAAAAAGTAATCTAATCCAAACGCATTAGAGAAGTAAATGAAAACGATCAATATCGAAAGGACGACCCCCGCTTATTATGTTCAAATATATATATATATAATAAATCAGTATCGGCTGTTTACATGGTTTGGGAGCAAGGTACAAATCTACTGCAATTCTAAGGCTCATTCGATCACTTTGCCCGCAGCGCTGCTTAATGCTAGTTTAAATTATGTTTTGTTAAGAATTGTATAAGCCTATCATAAATATGTCTACATTGCGCCAGTTCATACTTGTGTGTATTTTGCTTCCGGAAAAATCCATGCACATTTGAAAAAAAACCGCCAGGTACGCATTTGTTGGAAAGATCCTTGAAACTAACGCAAACTGTGTGACACCCTGTATTAATAATATTTCTATACATAAACTAAAGGACTCAACCGGTCGCAATAATGTACAATTCTTTGGACACGCTCCGAGGCTTCGATGCCCGATTTTTCTAACGACATGAATGTCGCATAATCAGAGAAGCGAACAAAAAAAATCAAAAGAAGCATGAGAGGCAACAAAAATTTACCTAGAGCAACTGGGCAGTTTACCTACTTTTGCTAGTGCTCGGCGCATTTTTTTGGGCAGAACTACTCTCTTTGCTCGCGCCATTAGTCGACTTAGGCGGTTGGGGAATTATCGTAATCTCGTCATTGATTTTCAACGGCTTCAGTTCAGCATTCTAGAAGGAAAATAGCCATCATTAACAACCAAAAAGGGCAGTTTCAAGGTGCAGCTACCTTTGGACCTGAAGGTGCTGCTGTTGAGGTAGTTTTCTTGTCCATCACCCTCTTGGCGACCACACTGTGCGCCGAATAAACATGGTTCTCAAACTGCTTGTACATACCGAATGTGGCGGTACACACTGTACATTTGTACGACAAATGTGCCGGTTTGAGAGTCATATTGTGGTCTCTTGCTACATGATTCAGCAACTTCCACTGGTACACCTGCAGAACATCGCTCGGGTTAACACACGCAAATCAGCAGCAACTCAGATTATTCACTTACTCGTCCACACACCGGGCAACGTCCCGAATCTTTGCTTTTGTTTGCTGCGTCCTGCATACTGGAAGTCACAAGACCATGAGACCCCAATAAATGTCTTTCCAGCCCCTGATCAGTGAAAAACCGGAACTGGCATTTCTGGCAATTTAACGGGGGCCTATTATAAATCATTTTTGGATGAATCTTGATCTTGTGAATCCATTGCATATGGTTCCGTAACTGTTCCAAGTCCTGAAACAATCAAAACAGACTCAGTTTGCGCCACCAAAATGTTTCAAATTAGATACAAGTTTGCACCTAAACATAAACATTTTCCTTAAACAAAATCTTAACATGTCCATGGTGAAAGTCTGGGTTTAGGCTGCAAGAACTTGACTATTTTTTGGTCATATCTGCACATTAA